TCTTCGTCCAATTTATGGAGTTTAATTAATAGTGTTTGCTATAATTAAAGGAATATTCATCTACGTCATCTTTTATCTTCTTCTAGGGTAATTCTGAAGTAGTGTCTTTATCATCTACGTCGATTGTGATATCATGCTAGACCTGGATTTCTCATGCTGTTATTTTTCCTTAGGCTTATTCATCTTTTATCTTCTCATGTAACTTCATAAGTAATTTGAATGACTTTCTGTCGTTCAACGCAAACTTATGGAAATACAAACTTTAATTATTTTCTGTTTCAATGAGAACAAATGTTAATTTCACATATATGACAAATTTTCAGTATTTCTAATTTATTACTTAAGTTAGGATTAATTTATTTTTTCTTTGCAATGAATTCTTGTGTTGTGTACCCAATAAGAGTTTCTACTACGTCAAATAATGTTACATTTACAATATCCATGTCATTCTTCATAAGGATCTTAACTAAATACATGTATTTTATATTGTTTATTTGCTTTAGATATATGTTAGAATTTGACGTTGATATATTTATTCCATGAAGAAGGGATATTACTTAACCTTGGTCTTAAGTCATTAGAGATTCTACGACATTCACTCGTTATTATCACCTCTATCCATCTTCTTGTTGCAGTCTTTGCAAGAGTAAAGCCACAGCTCAAGTCTATTATACATGGTAGTTATCTTTACGTTAAAGATGTAATACCATATCTGTATATTAGTAAATTATAATTAGGTTTAATCATGTGAATTATAGAGTATGTTTTTTAAGTTCATACCTCTTTCGAATGTTGTGATGTCCGCATAATATCACTAAGTTAAATTTCTATTGTATTTGTAAAAAGCATTAATGTAGATGTTTTTGTCTTGATAGCTTATTCTAAATGAACCCTGCATATTAACTTTAAAATATAATATTTTTTATTGTGTTATATGAATGTTTACTTGGTTTACTTATTATTCTCTTTTTTTTTAGTATGTCATGAGTTTTAATAGTTTAAAATATCTCTCTTTATATAATTTTGTAACTCCTTACAGCAAACGTATAGCTCTTTAATAAAAGGTGTAGCGCCATACGGAATAAATGTAGCTCTTTTCTGGAAAAATGTTGCTCTTTATGGGTTCTGCCACACCAAGAAAAAAATGAAATTTTTTTGTATATTTGTATATTGCAAATCTTTGAGCAAAACAAAGAAAAAGTACGTAATAGATGTGAATATACAACTATACTAAGAAATGGAAAGTTATTATGTTCTAGTTTTGACGGTTCAAAATATAGCTTTTCGTATCGTATTGTAGCTCACTGTAGCAAAAGTGTAGCTCTTTAACGCAAAGCAGAGCACCTTATGATGAAAGTGTAGCTCATTATTGAAAACATGTTTTTTTTATATGTTCTGTACGCACCAAGGAAAAAAATAACTAGTTGTGCAAAAATAAAACTGCACCACTCCTCTTCGGTTATAGTTGTGCATTGGTGATCACATCTTATTGGTTCCCCCTTTTTCTTAGCAAATTGCGAGAAACATGAAAACAAACACAACATAACATTTGATAATTCACAATAATACTTTAAAATTTATTCAATTCATTCTATTTATTACACTATAATTATTCTTGCACTAGACATAAGAACTGATATATTATAAATTTTAACCATATTAGTGTTATGTTAAATAAGATAAATATTTTACTTTAGATATTAGATATTACCCAATAAATATATAATTTTAATATATAAGATAATAATATTATAACTTATATTTATAAATTATATAATAATTTAAGATAATTTAATATTTAATTAAACATCTAACATCTAATCCAATGTTATAATATATTCATATGTGCATATGATGTATTAAAAAATTCATGGAGAGGAGTACTAATATAAATGTTAACATCTAGGTGTAGTCTAAAAATATAATATAAATTATCGTAATATATATCACTAGCTATTCCAATATACTTATCATAGTATTTGGATACGAAGTAATTCTAAACATACAGAATTCCATGCGGTGTGGGAAGCTATTACATTTGTTCTTGACACTGGATGTGGAAAGATAATTTTTGAAGAAGATGAAGATGTGGTTATTAGAGATATCCATAATGGGGTGGAGCAACACTCGATTTTTGGACACTTTATAGATGATATTAAGCAATGTTGCACATGACTCAGAGGAATGACATTTTTAGATAGTTCGTTAAATGGAGAATATAATGGCTCATGTGTTGGTCCGAAGAGCTAAGGAAATTAATAATTTTGCAGTATTGCTCGAAGACTCACCATTATTTTTTACACAATGTTTTACGGTCCGATAAGGAGCAGCGCTAATCCACTCCTTTACTGTGCTTCTGGGTTTCCAGTTTAGTTTTGATGTATCTTATTTTTTTTTCATGAAAAACTATTGCAATACAGTAATTAAATCCTAACTAATAAAATAATTTATGACATCTCCCATTTTAAACCCACTAATATTGCATTTAATATGATTTTTTTAGTGAGAAAATGAACCTATAATTAAAGCATTCATGTATATTCTCTTATCGACAAATCAAATTCTCTTCATTAATTATGCACTAATAATTTCACGATTTATCAACTTCCATAAACATTCCACTTGGACAAGAGTTGCATAAAATTATGCTATATATAGATGCTCAAATGCACGAAAGAAAACACTAAAAGAGTCAAAAGAAAAAAAATGGAGGAAGTAAGAATTGTGACAGTGGAATCAGTCCCTTGATTATAGTAACCAGGATACCTTGTATTGCTTTTTCTTTTGTAGGAAACGAACAGATTTGCAACCAGTTTTACCTCCAATTTACGAAAAAATATCAATCTATTAGTTATACAAGTGTGTCATTTCGTGGAGAGAAAAACTAATATAAATATTAATAAATTCATGGTGAGTGGGTGGATGGGGGCTCTGTTTGAGTCTTCTTTTGTTTTTAGAAAAAAGTCGTGGACGAGTGCAATGTGATATTACCTTCAACTGTTTAGTCTCATATCATTACTTAATATGCATCATGTGCCAAGCATGTATCAAATACTAGTATAGTATAAAAAAGCATTGTGTACGGAGAAGTGGGTTTAAAAACAAGTCAGTGTGGGTATTTTGGGTTTAAGGCTGATTCTGAAACTGGGTGGGTTTTTAAATAAATCAACGAAAAAGTTTGGGCTAAAAAGCAAAACCCCCCCTTTAATTTTTATAATTGTTGGCACACCGAAAGTGATCCCTTGCAGACTCTAGTAATTAGCGACGCTAAATAATGGATTAAAAATGCGCTAAACATATTTACCCGCTGGGTTATGGAAATCTTGGCCTATAGTAACTTTACCTATGACAGACAAGAATCACGGCTCCATTGTTGAACAAAACCACCCACTGTATATATTTAGCTAAAGCTAAGCTGCACGTGTCAATCTTATTGCATGTTGATACAGTTTTGACAATATCTTGTCACTATTAATTTACATGTTGCGCTGTTAATTAGCTCATCATGTTTAGACCACAACTTGTTGGGGGAAATCGCGTCTAATTTAGAGTCAATGGGTCTTAATAAGTCGAGATTAGAAATCAACTTTAGCCCAAAAGTTTTATCTACTAGTTATTGGCCCCAACTCGTATTTTAGAATAATCACTCTTTTTTTTTCCTATCCCATTCGTTACTATACTCACGGGTGATTTTAGATTTTCTGATCAAAATATGTAGATCTGATTAGATAACCTTATCATTTATCAAGACCAATGTTGGAAAAGAAAAGCAAATCACGTTTCTTTTATTGATGAATAAAACCACTCACTGTAGTCTATATGTAGTTGATCATCTTTTGCACATGATTAAATTATAAGCATTGTGAGTTAACGATCAGCTCCGTGATGAGAATTGACTCTTTCGTCAATTCTCAAAGTTTTATCTAATTTCATGCATTTTGCAAAGAGCATTACAACTTTATAATTATCGCTTTATTATTCCTTTCTATGATATGATATAACCTCTCTATCAGTTTTCAGCTCAATCTCTAGTATAGCTTGGCTGAAAAAACAAATTCCTAATTTCAAATATCTTAAACTTTATCTTTTATTTAATTACATGGCTATAAAAATATTTCTAAATGAATCATTCATCCTTTTTTTCCAGAATGAAATTTGAGCTTATCATTTTTCTAGCCTATAATGATCACGATGGATCAATCACCCTGATTTTTTGGAACCCTATAGCGATTAGGCAGCCTAAAAGAATTAAAGAGACGTTAAGCAACTGATCACTAATAATTATAATTAAATTGTGAAAAAAAGATGATTAACACTAGAACACTTCATCGCCCTCATGCTGTATCGTGTTTAAGTTTGAGATTTGTCGTTTCTACACTTGTTCACTATAATTTTCGGTGCTGGAAGAATTTCTGCCTCCATTTACGCCTCCATTTACGTGTTTAAGTTTGAGATTTGTGGTTTCTCCATTTTATATATATATATATATATTATATATATATAGTATATATTATATATGATATATATATATATATAAGGGAAGGTTCAATAAAAAACCTCATTAGCTCTAAAAACTAAAAACTTCTTCATGTCATTGGATCTAGCATAAATCCAATGGCTGGATTCAGTCCAAACAGTCAAGCGACACATGCATGTTAATTACGCTCATTAATTACCTATCCAACGTAGTAATCCAGATTCACTACCTTCAACGTATTCGAATTCACCGTGTACGAATCCAGATTCACTGCAGTGGATTCACTGTGTTATGTAGTTAATACATGTGTTAATGAGGATAATTAAATACATTGTGTCTGTTGAACTGTTGACTGCAATCCTAAGCCATTGATGAAGGAGTTTTTATTAAGAACATCTCCCTATATACGTATATTATTATATATATTACTATAATATATCTATATAGTACTATATAATAATATATAGTATATATTATATATATATATATATATTATATGAGAAAAATATAAGAACTTGGTATCAAACATAAATTTTATACTTGATAAATATAAATGAACTTGGTACGAATCACAAGTTTTTATACTTGGTAGTAAGATGGCACATTCTCATCCACTCATTCGAATCAGGAATCACATTCACATAGATTAGGGAGTGGATAGCAATGGACCACCTCACTACCAAGCACAAATTATATGCTTAGTGTATATACACGTGTGTGTTGCAAGTTTTCTAGAAACACGTGCACGCACACGTGATGTCTGCTTTATTTGGCCGGAGGGTATACGGCTACACATATATAATACATATAAATACACACAACGTTATCAGGGGAAAGAAGCTAATTACCATCATAGGCAAGTGACATCCCTCGTAAGAAAAGGGAAGTGGAGGAGGAGGAGGAAGAAGCCAATCATCTGGGAGAAAAGATGGTGGCTAAACCTTGATCGACAAACATCTCGATTGGAGAGCCATACATCATAAGATCACCATATCTTTTATGGCACTCATAGGTTCCATCTCCCCTCGCAAGAACCTCCCCATCTGAGTCGACGATGCCCCCCTTACTGGCATTTCCGACACGCTGCCCTGGCTCTAACTGGAATGCCTTCACCTGTAAAGTTCACAAACAGAGGTCAATTCCATAATCTGTCACGTGAATAAAACGCTTCTTATAGCTCGCTATTCATTAGCTTTCGCGTAAATTCTTGCTTTCTTTCTGTTTTTATTTCTTTTCACGGGGAAAATTCATTTCTTTTAGTGGAAGAATGTCTACCTTCATCTACACTTCCTGTTACCATGACATCCACAACAACATCAGACTTTCTATGCTCAACACTAGCGAACACTGTCCAGCACCTAAAATTTGAAACAGTGCAAGTTTTTATACAAATATTATTATTATCATGTCGAGCATCTCAATTAGGGCATTTCTGTTTCCAACATAAAATTTGCAAAGCGTAGTTCGATGGAGCTTATCAATATTCATCCACTTCATGCAAAATATTCATATGTCATTTTTGTGGACGATGCCTTGATCCACAGTCTAGGGTGACATGTTGGCAAGATTACCTAAGAATGTAACAAAGGTCAACCTATAGCATCCACAACCACAAATACTTTTGACATTCAAATGTGCAGTTAATGCATCCTGCACAAGTTCAGCTAAAGATTTGTTCGTTTTCTTAGTTCTTATTAGCACGCATTAACATTAATATATGGGAACGCCCTTGCATATACAGCTCTCCTACACCCCCGAGTTCAGCACTGGTAGAATTTGAAATGATCACATATATATTTTTAAGTTACCATGATTACTTTCATATTTCCATTAATTTTAAAAAAGTAAATATATTACATCATCACCTTTGACATGTTTGACAACCACAGGATTACCAAGTTTGACATCATCCAATCAATAATCCTAGAATATCATGGGATCCATACCTAGACCTTTACTTATTTTCCACTGTACTAACCATTAATTTTCCTCTTAGGGAACTCTTGAAGGAAAAAAAAATTCTCTAGTGGATATCATCTATACTTCTTCAATGCCATTTATCAAATTAAGTTCTTTTCACCAGTATACATGACTTTATGGATGGTTTCATCTCTTTTAATTAGAATGAGATATTCATGAGTAGTCAAGAGACTCACAACTTTCAATTGTTTGCATAAGAAAAAAGTAACACACCTTCAGATAAATAACATATGGCGATTTGAGATGGCTTCCATCAGCTAACTGCAACATCAATGCTAGCAATGCTGATTTTGGACAGTCCCTGGTTATAACCATATCAAGGTAGCCATCTGAGAACTGCAAAACATTATAAAGAAAAAAAAACAAAACAAAACTATACATATCATTTGTTGAGAAGAAAATGACAACAAAACCAAGCAAAAGATATTATGAACAAAGAGCGGAAAGAACAACCTTTGCTTGAGGTGCAGGCATTGTGCCTTTATCAGACCAGGGGACATTGTTAAGCCAAACTGAAATAAATGGACCATCTAAAGACCTCCACTCACGACTATCAAAACAAACGGAAGGGCCTTGGTAGCCACCATGATGAATTAGAACACCGTTCCCTTGACCTTGTTCTTGTACACTAGTAAATGCTTTGGAGTCAAAATTGCGCTGTAAAGGTTCACCAAATTCTTCATAGCCAGGAGCAGGAACAAACTGAACACATCCATGATATCTTCTCAAATAAAGGTTCACCAAATTCTTCATAGCCAGGAGCAGGAACAAACTGAACACATCCATGATATCTTCTCAAGTTCATTATGCGTAAAAGGGCCATAGCCAGGAGCAGGAACAAACTGAACACATCCATGATATCTTCTCAAGTTCATTATGCGTAAAAGGGCCTGCAATTACTAAAATAATAACAATGAAAACAATGTTTGCATATATTACAGTAATTTCCAATTTGTCATTAATTTGCAGAATATAATATTTTTACATTTATGTATGATGCTAACCGTTGGAATAATCTTGGAATAGGCTACTTTCTTATTCACTTGCAATTATCTTTGAATTATCTAGAAACAATTCTCATCAAAGTAATAGCGTACATACATAGAATTGAAACCGAGCAGTACTTCCCATCCACCTATATTTCTCAGACCCAATATCCACATCTGCAACAAAACCTGCAGAGGGTATTAAAAGTCTCACATTTAGACGTACTCAACATGAGAATATAATCTAATTGTTTGGACAACATACAACGTAAATCTTAAAAAGAAAAATTTACTTGAAGCTTAAAGAAAAGGCCTAAGTTTGAGTATACCCCATGTGAGCATCAGTACACTAAAAAATTTAGTCACTCCCTGCATGACAGTAGAAACATCCAGTGCGCGTTTATGTCCTGAATGAAAACAAAGGCTGTCAAAAGAAATATCATCTTCATGAAAAGAATATTTGACAACAAACCATAGAAACAAATAATGACCTCTGAGAACTGAAAATACAGCATTTGAGATTGAATATGCTTCACCAGCTGCATCCAGAAGTGATTTTGCCATGCCATTTCCGGTACCTGCATCCATTACTCTACATCAGAAAACCAACATATTTGACAACATTAAAAATGCCTGCTGATTGCTGATCCATCCGCGGTTAGTGTTGACATATTAGTATTAGTTAGGGACTTATTTGTGAGTTGTGTAGGGGCCTATATAAAGCCCAAGAGATCTCATATTGTATTAGGGTTTCTATTCACAATTTGGTATCAGAGCTAACCCTAGCCGCCAAAACCCCATCCCCTTCCCCCCCCCACCCCACCCCCC